TGCGGGTGGTTAGATTATTACCGAACGGGATTGAATCAGTCAAGCACAAAATGAACTTCAAGTCCGAGTGCGATCGAAAATACCGCCACGCGCGTTTCTTGCAAATGAAACAAACTCGACGCCATCAAAGGAAAGAGAAAGAAGTAGGGAGACGCGATTTACAAAGTTTGAAATTACATTAAACATGCGCGCACTATTAAAGAGCTAATTTGTCCTCTCTTTGAAGACAAGATCAAAAACAGGAGCGATGTTTATTTTCTATGAATTGACGAGAGAGAGAAATGGTAATTTGATTCTTTTATTCAAAACTACAGGAAATATTTGTCGTAAACAAATCCACTGTTATGGTTACGATTATGGTAGGACGTGTCATGAATATGTTTATTATTTCTTGTGTAGTCTGCGCAATTCTTCTCGAATAATTTATCAATTACCAAGCTTCGCGGCTCAGTAAACCCAGTCGGAACGTTGAATATTAATTTGCCTAAAATTCATTCAATATTTCCAATATTCACCGATAAAAATGTAACAATTGAACGCTTACTGTACTTTTTCCAAGAAAGTTTACTGCTGCAAATCTACTTCCTGTAAAATGTTTATCTTATTTTAACTTTTGTGGATGCAAAAGAGAAACTTTTTTTAGAAACCTTGCGGGATTTACTTTTATATAATTTTCTTCCAATATATTTTCAAAGAAACTTTTTATCTTTCTAGGCAATTTTTAGAGAAATTTTAAAGCTACCAATTAAAAATTCAGAGTTACTTTTATCCGAGTTCTTTTTCAAAATTTATTACAGTTGCAGTTCTGCAAACAAAGAAAATCAGTGAGCGATAATAGAAGATATTCCAGTCTTTGTTCTGCACAGTTTAGCCATTAATTTATAAGATATAAATGCGTGTGAGTAAAACGATATCATAATTCTTTCTTACCAAGTTCCTTCTTAGCAATGTATGTGAAATAATAAATTATTCTATTTTCTATTTATTAAATAATTCTGTATCAAAGAATTAATTTTTAAAATTATTGCACAAAAAATGTAAAAAAACAAAAGACAATAACGAATACAAGCACAAGGAGAGAATTTTTTCTTAGAGTTTACCCTGAAAATATGATAGTCGTGTGACAACATTGTATTATTTCAAAAAATTTTAATGTAAATCTCTCTCATTCATTAATAAAATTACAATAAAGTATAAGATAAGTTTAATTAATTTTACTGAAGTGCATGATAAAAATCTTTAAAATATTGTATTGTACCACACTATCATATATTTTCGGGGTAAATTTTAAAACAAAGTTCTCTCCGTGCAACATTTTCCACGACTCAATTTGACGTTCTTACGAAACGAAACTAATCATGTTTGCTCAATATATTTCTTGTTTAAACGAAATTCCATTTCACTGTTCACATTTTCCTTATACATCTTTGTCAACCAAAAAGTCATCCATTATAGTCATATTCTCCGATAAAAAGTATTATCAATATCTTAGAAAAACGTACAATTTTCTGATAAACATTCCGAAGATTCCAAGTATGAATCAAATGACACTTACAAGAAATTTTATTATATCGTATTATCATCGAGGTCATCGTCTCTGGATTACTATAATCGCGGTTGTATCTACAAGCGTGAGTCCTCTTATCGAGGAATCCGTCGCGCCGTTTCCGGGACGCAATACGTACGATCGTCACGACCAACACGAGATCTAACGAGCAAACGCGGTTCCATACGCGGAAAGATCGCTCATCTCCCTTGCGGCAACCGTAAAACCGCGAAGGACGTTGCAATTTCTCGCGGTGGATGTGGTCGTAGCCGCTTCATTCTCCTCTTTCCACTGTCATTTTTGTCGTACGTCTCGCTCTCAACAGCGTATTAACAACACTAATAAAAAAATATGCGCGTTCTTGGATAAAAACTCTTTTGTGAGTTTTTCGAGACTGTCTAAAAGACTGCATCATCTTACACAAATAAAATCAATTCCATATTTTCGTTAAATTTAAGCGAAATTTCAATAATCTCGTTGAGGTAATATTTTTTACAATAAGTTCTTTAAGAACACCATTATTAAAATTGACGATCAATGTAAGTGATGTTATTTCCAACTTCAGTTTACGATTGCGTTTCAAGTTCGGCAAACCGAATTGGCGAACCTAAGAATTAAAAACATATTTATAGCGTTAAAAACATTTGCAAAATTCGTTTCGATTAAAAATAAAATTCTTTTTCTTATTTGATAAAATTCAAGATGCGATTTTATCTTCGAACAGAAAATTGTGCGGATGAGCCTCTCGATTTAAAAAAAAAAAAAAAACGATTTTGCACTTTTTCATTGGCGACATCACGGAGAATCATGGACCAAGAGTAAAACCGGAAATCGACTGACGAGATAGCTCACCCCACGAACGGAATGCTTCGATGTCTACGTGTACATCGCTGTTGGTCTCACCGCTTCGTCCTCCCGCCGTCTTTCTGCATTACCACACGGCCGCTAACTCAATTGGTATGCGACTGCGCGAGCCCGCCAGATGCACAACCGCCGTTGAGGTCAGTGTGCGGTGCGTTGTCTAGCCGAGTTTCAACCGAGCGTGCATGCTGTATTGTAAAAAGAGAGGAAAAAAAAAATGCACGCATCTCGCCAGCGAGTCTCGGAAAATCAATCCCGACTCCACCAATCATTTGAGACTGACGGTTCAAATTTTCGCATGTATCATGGAAACTGTCCGAATATATACGAGAGAGTATATATATATATATATATATGCAAAATTTTCACTAAACAATACGTCTCTGTCGGACTTATCAGAACGTGCGCGGTTGAGTAGTATAATCGAGGCCGTTGAACGCAGAACAAGATGAAAGGCACGTGGGTGGGAAAAGAGGAGAAAGGCTACGCAGTTCTCTTCCCTTAATACGATATTTATCTTCCCCTTCTCAGAGAGAATCTGCAAAAATCAAGTTGGTTGCTGCGCGGGGTCTTCAATTATCCTTTATAGGCGGTACGAAGTGAGTACTGACGAGGTGCCCGGACGGCCGAAGAAAGTGCAAGGCAAGAACCGGCTCGAGAGATGGTAGACCCCCTACCGGTTTTACTTGGTCCCCCTGTGTAGTAGCTTATTCAAGCCCGCCGCCCCTCTCTGGCTTCCCCTCCCGCCGCTCCTCCGTCCCACGTTGAGTAGTCACGAAGAGAGAACCCTCTCCTTAATTGCAGCGGGACGACCGGGAAAAAAAATGCTCGATGGCTTCTGGGTTCTACTTTATTGCGCGTTGACTCTCGCATACGGCTCGAAGCATAAAATTAAATGTCACGCGCGGAAAAGTGCAACGGAGGCCCCGATCGCGTCCTATATTTAGCGCTCGAAGCGTTATCGCTCCCGGTCGATCTGAGCTGAAACTGATCGAGAATTCAGACCCCATAGATCTAGAGTTTGTCTCTGGCAAAATATTGGTCCTGTATTATGTGATACATCGCATACAATTATTAATTATCAATAAGGATTGTCAAGGACGATCCAAATTAGCCATTCAAAATATTAAGCATCTTGGTGTTACAATTGTCAAGATAATTAAGAATTTACTATTATAATATATTAGAAATATGTTTAACATTTGCCTTTTTCTTTACCACGATGTATATTGATATGTTCCCTTGTTATCGCGCAGTTATTGCGTTCCGTTTAACTTCACACTTGCATTCGCATATATCGTTCATATATGAAAATTAGGCGAAAGGAAAAATTGTTAAATATATCCGAAGACTGTAGCTTTAAAGAATAGTAAAATTGAATATGTAGAAATATATCCATAATTGAGAAAAATAATTGTTTTCGTGGACGATCAGATCTATAAGACAAAGCTTAAGACGCTACAGGTGTTATCTAACGCGCGTTATCCGCTAATCGCGTTCCACCGGATGCGAATGAAGACGACGAAGGAGCAGATAAGAAGGCGGCGAAGACAGAGGAATCTTACGAGCTGGAAGCTCGCGACGCGCTCGCACGCTCGCGAACGAGGCAAAGAGAAGGACGTGATGAAGCGAAGAAAAAGACGGAAGAGACCGGGAGAGAGAAGCCGCGAGGAGCGAACAGGAGCGAAGAAGAGAACGAAGACGCAAAATGAAGGACGGGGGAATCGTCTCGGGGGCCGTACCACGGCTACACCACGGACCTCTGGCATTCCCGATCATTATTCCACGGGTTTGCCGAGGGAGAGGAGGACGGCTTCAGGCTTGTCCTTGGCACGGAAGGCAAGGTTAATCCCATTGCATCTCGGAAGCGTGGTGATCTACCGATCGACGACGAGTTGCTTTGCTGCCGAATTGCGCGTATTTGGTATCAACTCAAGATATGATTCATCATGAAAGAAACTTCGTAAAAAGACGAGGAGCTTCTTATTTAATATATTTGTAGTTGAAAGTCATTCTCTTTGAATTAATACACAAAAGAATGAAGAATGCTAACAATAATACTCTTTAAAGTCTTTGGAGTGGAATCTCACTCTAAAGAGTGAAAATTAAGCCAATCTTGATCGACGACGAGTTGGTTTGCTGCCGAATTGCGCGTATTTGGTACCAACTCAAGATATGATTTATCACGAAAGAAATTTCGTAAAAAGACAAGGAGCTTCTTATTTAATATATTTGTAGTTGAAAGTCATTCTCTTTGAATTAATACACAAAAGAATGAAAAATGCTAACAATAAAGTCTTTGGAGTGGAATCTCACTCTAAAGAGTGAAAATTGAGCCAGTCTTGATAAAGAGTTGCTCAATTTTCCATCTTTAAGGCCGGTATTCATAGTCAGTTCTTATCTTATTCAAAATCGTTTTCAGTTCAGCATTGAGGTGTCACGAACCAATTAGAGAGCCGCATTAGCGTCTTAAGACGTTACTTAAGACGGTCCTGAAATAAGAACAGACTATGAATACCGGTCTAAGAATGAGATTTCATTCTTCGAAGTGAGATTTACTTTAAAAGGTTTAAAGAGTAGGTAAGCGACGTACCTTGTGCGCAAAATTATCATCTCTCTCCTGATCCTTCTTCAAAGCGCTTCTTACGCTATCGAAGTCGCTCGTTGTCTTAAAAGTCGTGCTGTAATTGTTACTCAGTACCTCGGCAGGTGGCTTATAATCGCGGTATCCGGTAGGTGAGGGTGTCTTCTCGAAGGATCGCTCTACAGTTGCGGGCGTGAGGCCTCCGGAAATGACATTCGTGACAGTGGAAGAGCGATCGTCGTCCATTTCGAATACGTCGTCGCTCATGCTATCCTCGGTTGTCAAAAACTGCGAATCATAAAACGCAAAAACATCTTTGAACATTTCTGAATGTGTTTAACGTCACTGACTAACATAAATATGTAGTTTAAACATAAAATTTATTAATTTATTTTATTTTTAATAAATTATTTGTAAAAAAAATATATTTAATTCACAGAAAAAAGTCACATTATCATTAATGCCTAAAATTTACCAATTAATTAATTAATGTACAACTTTAAGGAATAGGAATAATATTTAGTTTTTTTTTCCCCCCCCCCCCTAATAGAGAGAGAGAGAGAGAGTATTCAATTCTCACAAAAGTTCTTCAAACGGCTGATCGAGAAAATCCAATTCGCTATTTTACTGTGATTACAATCCCTTTGATCGTTTTCGAGTGTCGTGTACAGGTCGCGAAGAAATCGTTCGCGGTCTTTCTACCTACAGTAACTTTCCGCGAAACGAGTGCCGCTTGTCGCATTATCGAAGCCTACCGGAGAAACCAGTTCGGTGGATGCTCTCCGTAAATGCCATTGCCGCGCAGCGAATGCTGAAATAACTGTCCTTCGATCGACCGACATCTCCATCTCCGAAGAACGTGCCGTAACGTCACGGCCTTGTGTAGTACTTAAAGCCAATTAGTAGTTAGTCCCCGACAGCTCCGATATAGAGGCTAGATCACTACATGGTCGCGTGCGATCATAAAACGACATGAAGATGGGTACCTGAACCCTTTATGGAGTCACGAATCCCCTCACTAACTCTCGTATAACGTCGTGGAGTCAATCACAGACGAAAATTGTCATGTGACAACTTTTAACTCGTTGAAGTATTTGACATATTCAAAGTACAATAAGGTAAAAGACTCGTAAACGTGTTCATGACGTCTTAGTCATAACGTCGGCAACGTCTCTTGAAATTGAAAGGGCTCGCGTGGAATCGATAAATTTACATGGTGGAAAGCAACTGGCATACATGATTTATGGTTCGCACTGTTCCCTGCGAAGAGGCACCGAAGAAGTCCGATATAATCTCCCGGGTAGCCAGCTCCCCGCTGAATATTTTAGCGGATACACTCCATGAAGGTTACTTTAGCGACGTCTGACTACTTCGATTCTTCACGTCGCGCGCCTTAATGGCCTTTATCGATAGCACGTACAAATGATAGCGAAGCAGTAGTTTACTATTATCATCGTTACATTAGTTCTCGTATTTCGATTAGCATCATGAATTTAACATCTCCTTAATTATTTTATATTGCGATATATTTTATATGAAAGTAAAAATATATTTTGTCATTCTCTGTGTGTTCTTTATTTTATTCTATATATAAAATCGTACATATTTTGTATATGTACCCCATGTACAAAATTTTTCCCCTATTTTTCCCGATCCCTTTTTCCCTCTTACTTTCTATATGTATAATATTGATGTTGTGGAGTTGTGCACTGATTTCGTAATTTGAATTAATTTATACTTTATGCTACAGTTAAATCACGTAACAGTATGATGGGATAAAGTAACTGGAATGTTATGGTAATGAATACCCGCATTGTCCCAACATCGCTTCCCTTCCGAAATAATTGCCTTCCATTTCACTTTACCCCAATGTTAGACCGCCCTTCATTAATCCCATCCCTGAGTCACGTGACGTGCAACTTTTATTGTGCGAAATCAGTTTAAACACCAAACAGATTTGCCTTCATATATGCAATAATACGTTACCATATAAAAAATATATTTATAAATTATAATAAATGATTTATTAAGACCGTATATATAAATGCACAAGTAAGAATATTAAAGCCTATAACAATTGAATTTATAAATTATACTGTTGGAAAAAAAAAACACCGTATATATAAATGCACAAGTAAGAATATTAAAGCCTATAACAATTGAATTTATAAATTATACTGTTGGAAAAAAAAACACGAAAACGAGATTAATCATTTTCCGTAGTTTTTTGGAATTTTTTGGAGATGCTGAATACAAATCCAGTTTCCAAATTGCTTTCTCACGTCACAATTTTGAAAACTGGATTCGTATTCAGCGTTCAAAGATCTAAAAAAAAGAAAGACTACTTTTGTTTCGATCAGAAATTATAGTTATTTTTTATTTAACAGTATTATCAATAGTATTAGAATAAACGCATTTGTGCGCGTAGATATCGATTCGGAAAAGCAATTCTGTTAATGGATGACCGAGATACGAAATAGTCTGTTTCGATGTGTATAAAGAGCAAGAACCGATGAAGCAAAAAAAGGAGATGGAAATTACAGCTTTAGAAGTGCACTATTGATCGAGCCAGACGATTAATCGAACACGATCGATGGTGACCTGTGTACGACTACCGGACTCTTGGGATACTTGTTGCACCGGTTCTCCACGCTCATTACTCAACTGACGGTTGCCCATATACCGGTGATAAAGTCGGCAGCGATAATTGGGTTGCGAAAGCACCGTCGCGATACCACGACACCTCGGCACCTCGCGTGGTCGATCGATTCTCCCAAGAATAAATTCACAGTTACAAACTGGATCAAGTGTTTTAAAATTTTCAAGCTTTTGATACAGTAAAAAAAAAACATTTGAAAAAGTTTTAATACATAATATCAAAACAAATCTTTACAATTTTTATATCATTTAAAAATCCAAATATTCGTAAAATAGTGGACTTTTCATGAATTTCTTATATTTGTAATACTTATTCAATTGCGCAAGACACTGTACATTAAGGATACATGTACTTACATTAACTGACGCCGAAGCGGGAACAGTAATTGTGTTTGGACCATCACGATCACCAGCACCACCTCTCATCGTGCTCTTCTAAACACGTCTCTCATTAGATAACTGCAAACAACAAAATGCTATCCGTTAGTATATTCTATTGAATTAATGAATAAAGATAAACGGCGTTATAAGAAATTATAATGTAAAACTGTGCACAAATTGAAAAAATATTCTCTTCCAAAAATAATACAAGAAGCATACAGTTACACGCAGAATGTTTTTTGCGAACGTCACATATTTAAAATTCTTACGTTAACAATACATAATCATAAACGTTTCAGCCCATATCAGGCCATCTTCAGTATGCAGTATAAATAATTTATCAATAATTCGTAGCCATAAAAGTAAAGGAATTAAAATAAACAATTAAAATAGTTCGTTGTAGTCTACGCTTATGTAAGTTGTCAAAAATAATTTGCCTCTGTTAGTCCTAATGAGAGATTTATTGAAATGACAGTAAAATAATTTTTCATAGAGCTTTCGATAATCAAAATAATATTACAATAAATCGGACAAATTAGAGCTAATACATGATTATTTGTCTTTTATATAAAAATTTTCCTTTTCTATTTATTCATACAATAATTGATCGACGTTTCGGCTGCTCTTTACAGTCATCTTCAGTATTTCTGACGCTGACGTGGGCACGTGTCTAACGACTATCTTAGAATTATATAATTTTCACTGAAAATTTTTATAACGGAGTGGAGGAGCAATTTCTAAAAACCGTACTTAACAATTTTGACAGTGATTAAGAAGAGCTGTGCTCATAATTCAATAAGAAATCACTCAAGATTTTTTGGAAATGCACTGGCATTTATTTATTTATTTATCGAGAATAATTGGACTTATAGATTTATGTTGGATTACTCTGAAGATGGCTGTAAAGAGCAGCCGAAACGTTGATCAATTATTGTATATTGTATGAATAAATAGAAAAGGAAAATTTTGTATAAAAGACACAAATAAGAACCGTGTCTGATCTCTAATTTGCTCGATTTATTGTAATATTATTTATTGTAACGTTGTATAAAACACCACACAAATTTCCAGATTCTAATTGAGAGTAAAATATCCATTTTTTAAATATTCTCTTCCCCGTAATATTTCAAAAATAAAATATAATTGCTCAATTACTGTCATAAATATTTCAAGCATTTTATTATAACATATTAAAAAAAAAATCAGATTTTATCTCTCAATCCCTGCATAAGTCTCTCTTCTACGAGAAATTTATACAAAGGCGTTATCATAGTTCTAGGCGACCGATTCTATAGTTCGAGTGTAAATTTACTCGAAGGGTGCGAGTTTGCTTCACAAGATCAAAGTTCGACTAGAGAGATATATATATACCGCGATGGAGTCATCGCATCAATTCCGGTCCCGGTCGAGGAAAATCGAGGAACCGCACTCTGCAAAGCTCTGCCTAAATTCGATGAGTGATTCTATCCATTCAATTTCAACCCTCCTTCGGCTCACAGTCACGCAACATGCGCGCATTTTCACGCAACATTACAATAAGCGTACGTGAGGACATCTCTCTGTCTCTCATTCTATCGATACTCCATCAGTACGATGTCATTTCTCTTTCGGAAGCACAGCTTTTCCTCTCGCTTCTTCTCTCTTTCTTCCCTTTCATCATCACGTTTTACAGCTTAACGCGCTCTATGTTTCTTACGCTCGTTCTATGCCACCTCGTTCTCTCCCTTCCCCAACAACACGTGTGCTTTCTCATCGTCCTTTTCTCCCCAACCATCGTCGAACTTCACATGCAATCACGCACGCATCATCTTCACACACTCGTACATATACGCTACACGCACGTAAAACGTCCCGCGTGTGACATTCTATCCCTCTCAGGTGCACACACTTAGCCTAACCACATTCAAGTGTCGTTCGTCACACGCCCGACACGGGACTACTTTTCCATCCTTTCTCACTCACTCTTTCATCCGTAACATCTTCACGCTTCGCTTCATCGTTTGTCTCCCGCGCTCTCTCGCTCTCACTTGCGCCATCACGGTTCTTCAGCCTCTTTGTCACGCGCACGATCAGAGAGACCGGAACGCTGTTCATCTCTGTCATATCTCTCTCTCTATCTCTCGATGTGGCCTACCCACCGCAATAAGTTCCACCCGCCCACGTTACCTTTCACGCACTTCTCGCCGGCCGATCATCCGTTGCGGATCGGGAAGCAGGCGATTCGCTTATCTCGCCGCTCGATCTTTCGACGACCAACTCGATCGGCTGACTGACTGTCCGAAAAAGGGAGACAAAGGAGCACTTTTATTTCCTTTGCCGAGACCAGTCGGATATAATGCCGCTGGGATATCTAATAATAATTATGCACACGTAATTGTAAATTTGCAGATTAAAATTGAAAGCTCAAAATTGAGAGCAATTCGCCATACTTTTCAGACTCATAAGGCAATCTTTTTACAATTTTTTTTTTTAAATCTTTTCTCTGGAATAATATATCAATTCTTCTTAAATTGTAAAATTTTTTATCGATTTCAGCTTAAATTAAGCCTCTTGAATCGTCATAAAGTAACAGGACTGACTCGACAAATACGGAGCAACCAAGATCGGAGCAAAAAGCGGCTTTTCTAGTAGAATGCATCGTTGATTTTCTAGGGAAATTATTTGCCCTTGAAGTCGGTACTCAGTATGCTTTCTCGGTCGCCTGATTTCTTCTCCGATTTTCGCAGCCAGTCGAGCGAAACGTACTCATGGCCGGAAACATTAGTAGAATCACGCTTGAGGGACAAAGGATGTCATTATTTTATTCGATAAAGTTATTGATATGGTTTGTGAAGACGTTCGCGCAAAATAGATTTTATTACATCGTTGGTTTAATATTCATTGATCAATCAATACATTAGTAATCGATAATAAAGAATTAAATGCTTCAGATTTTTGACAATTTTAATAAATATGATATTTTTTTTTATTACCCACCTCACGTTCTAAGAGTGAATACTTATTGAAATATTAACCCCCAATTGACTATGAAAATACACCTAAATTTTAAACATCCCCTTTAAAGTACAGAACAAACATTTACTTTAAGGATTGATGGAGAAAGAGTCAAAATTTTTTTATCTACAATTTAGGACAATGTTCATAATACTAATCGTAGAAATTTACAATCGTCTAAAAATTTTCGTTTTAAACCAAACGCTATAATTTAAAGTTCACGTAAAATAATACGCTAAAAAAGTCTCAGAAATTTTTAAAATACATTCATCACGCGTCATAATTTTTTAAGCGTAGTCAAATACGATAACTGTAAAAAAAAATCATTATGTTACAAAAAGACGATTTTCTAGATGTTTTTAAATTCTATAAACAGTTTTTAACGTCGTGTATAATTTTTTCATATTTTTATTAATTGACAGTGATTTCCAGCAGACCTCCTCGTTTATTTCCTCAATCGATTCCCGCATCGCATTGGCAAAACCGCCACGCACGAATACAACGGGACCGTGCACTTGGGCTTCGCGGAATCGCGCCGGCGCCGATGCCGTATCTCGTGCTACGAAATCACATCGAGAATTTGATTGCACGATGCTCGCGCGCTGGCCTTAATGAGAGCGAACCTCCGATCGAGTAAACCTAAAGGCCATCGGGGTCCGTCGCGTCGCGTCGGATGGTCGGATCGTTCAGGTCCTCGCGGCACGATCGCGCGCACCATAAAAGCGCTCTTTCTATATTTAGCTACGGCTTCGTATATATTCCCCACCTACATCGCCGCCCTCTCATTTGTTTTACGAGTCCGCGCGCCACGCTTTCATTATGTTTACACACGCCCCGCGAAATTGTCGCGCGACGCAAATTACTAGACCAGTTTATCGATCGCGTTATAAATGATTACGCAACAGCCGCTTGTCCAAACATCCACAGGACTATCCTTTTCTCGATAGCTGGCCGCGAAATCGTGGCCTTAAAGCCATCACACGTAAAAACGTTTTAATTGTAATCGTAAGATCGTACGAGCATATCGATCGATTATGATCGAATGTTTTAAAATGCAAGGTTAGGTATATAATGCTAAATTACAAAGTTAAAAGTTAAGTTAAAAAGTTAAAAAGTTAATTTTCAAACTTCATTCAGTTACATTTTAAACTCTTAACTTTGTAACTTTATATAGTTATATTTTGTCGATAACTATTAATTTTTAATTTGATTTTTTGAAAGTTAACATCTGGGTAGTTGGCGTTATACAGATCCCATACTCGGATTATATGTTTATACATTCCGTCAGAAATGTATTTTTCTAATTTTAAATAATTTCAAATATTTCAATTACGTTTACACAAAGAATAAAAAAGTTTGAAAGCGAACCGTCGTTGTGACCTAAAATCACGGTTTACTCGAAAAATACAGAAGTGCAATTTACTGCTTTATAGGGATTATTTTTTGATATCCCAGAATAATCACGCAAAAGTTGATCAAAATCCGTAAACTACATGTGAGTCTCTTTGTTAATTAAAAAAGTTAACTTTTTAACTTAGTTTTTTAATTTAATTTAAAAAAAAGTTTACTTGAAATCATGAACTAAAATAAATTTAACTTTTAACTGTTCAATTACTTTTTTTTCAACAAACTTAACTTTTAATCAAATTAATGTCAGTATGAATTAACTTTTATCTCAACTAAGTTAAATTTTCAAGACTGTTAACTTTAACTAAACTTAGTTTTAAAAAAAAAAAGTTAACTTACCCAACCATGCTAAAATGTATAAATAATCGATTTATTTACAGCTTTGCGGTTATTCCACCGCACATCGCAATCAACCATTGAAAGTTCCTCTTTTTCGCGAAATGGAAGGAAAGGAAGGATTCTGATTGGTTGATTCTCTTATGCATTACGCGTTATGCAAAAGTCTGTGCTGCGGCCTTACGACTAAAATTTTGTTACGTGATGGCCTTTAGATATTGATTTATCCGCGTGTACGATCCGCCACGTGTGCGGCGTGTAGGTTATCGCGATCGGATACGAAATTAACGATGGCATGTAACATCTCTGGGAACGAGAGATCGCATCGAGTCCTATTGTTATCGTCATTTCGAAGTCACGTCTACGACCTCGCGCAGCGCACTCGCGATCGGTGCTTTCTAATCTGCATCTGTACGATGTGGTCGTAGATCGCGGCTTTTAACCGCAAATTCTGTCGGCATAATAAATTATTTCTTATTCACTATCTAGCAGTCTAGTTACCAGCCCGCAGGGGGAATTCCCTGCGATTAATCCTGTACAGAACCGTGATTAATGAAACAAGGAAGTGAAGGAAGTAATCGTAATCGTTACAAGCGATAATTACTCTTCAAAGAGGCTATTGAAGCACTAGAAAGAGCGGCATTATTATTAATGAATTTTTGGTAAAACAATAAGTTTTTTACTATTTTAAGATGCTTATTAGTAGCGCCATTATTAAATTAATAATTTAATTTATGATATATGTTATTTCAGCATTTATGATTGCGTTTCAAGTCCGACAATAATCGATAGTTTATATAACTGGAATGTATTAAAAATTTATATATAAAAAATATTATTAGGCACCAAAATATTTAATTTCATCGTATTTGGCCCTTCTTTACTTATTTGATTTAATCACGGTCTATCTTATATTGCATTAATTTTGTTTAATTGATTATTAATTTTATTCCTATATAAATATTTGTTTATTTTACATTTATTTAAACGAGAAAAGTAAAACTACGTTGTAAAGAATAGAAACTCGGTCAAACGCCTGAACTGGAGTTATGAATGCTCGACTACTTGTTACACTTTTCGCCGCGCATGCGCATTGTCGGAAACAATCACATTTACAAAATATAACGTTCTTCACATTTTGTTGCTCTCTTTTGTCTTATTGTTATGAATGATGATTTGAAAAACTTCACTAAAGTCCAATTAAGCTATAAAAAGTATTAAAAGAAAATTAGAACAAGGGAAAGAATTATAATTGATACTTAAAGACATTTTAGATACTTAAATTATGGAATAATTAAATCGTAGAATATTAAATTATAAAAAATTAAATGTAAATAGTAAATATTGTAAATTAAGCTCGCTCAGCCTTCGTTATTTCTACGCTACTGCCGAGGAGATGTGCCGTGGGTATAGGCGGTGACTTTGAAATAGCGTTTCGATATTGATTAAATGCCATTACGAAAGTCTATGTTCGTCCCTATGTGCGTGTTGTTCCATCGACAGTGGACGCCAAGGTCACGTATTAACATTACGTACTTCTATTTCCAGTAATACGTGCGTGCACATGATAGCATTACGTGGCAAACAGCGCGGAGATTAAATCTCGCCTGAACTAACGCTATCGCGCGGAATGCATCTTCGCCGGATATTTCTGTCGGGAAATTACCCCGAAGTTACTGCCGGATACCATCAGCCGTGCGCTGATCCCTGACGAAATCGATCACAGAGATATCTCATTTACGGCATCGGAATGTTTCTCAAGGAATAAAAGCGAGCATAAGATTGCTGACAGCTGTTCGCGAGTTTTGAAAGCACGACGCGCCAAGAAATTCATTTAAATCGTGTTAAGAAATTTCATCCAGAGATATATATATTTAGGTGTTATCTTTATTATTCACTAAACGTTAAACAAGAATAAAATAATAACTGAGTGCATCCAGATACTTGAACGCAATCCCAATAGGAGAAACGTGAAGGATGACATCGCACACGATTGAATTAATCCGTAATTATTCTAATTGACCCTACCTTCAATGGAGCTGCAACCCCTACTGGCGCGCGCTGTTGGAGTTTCGCTGCGGCAACGCGCACGCACCACCCAATCGGAAATCGCACGTTGACACACCTATACGAAGAGCGGAGTCCTCTCACCGCAAAGCCTACGCTCGCGCTTACCTTTAGCTCGCCGCTACGCCGTTTCCCCGATAACGCGACTCCACTCTGGCCGATAACGCGGCAGTGACGCAACGACGGAGACACACTCACCTTCCACCAGCGTGCGGTAGGTCGACCCACTTTTCTCATGAACGGCCGACGAAACGACAGGCGAAACACGGGAACCTCCGGGCTTCCACGTACTCCTTTATCGATCACGCCGTGTATTTACGTCGTTACGCTGCCCTCGACCAAATAAATCCCGTATCTCGTCCCGTGGACCCGAATGGTTCTGATGCAGTGTACGGTGTTACGTCGACGCGGTGTTACGTTCGCGACGCTCAGAGGGATAAGGGTGGTCTCCACCCCTCGAGACTTAAGAATAAGCTTCGTCGCGACGGTGTTCGTCGTCGTCACGTGACAACACACAGGCCTGACCGACGCACACTCGCGGCAGTCATGGTCGTCGCGCAGCTGTTTGACGGCAGACAGCGCAATGGAACGAGGTGGAGCACCGATGATTGTATCTACGGGTCGCGCACGCGAGGGTGATGCGAGTTTCCGCGAGATGTATTCCTACGGGGTGCAAAGAGCATGAAAGACGACGAAAGGGCGCGCGCGCGCGCGCCCCCCGATGCGTGTGTACGTGTGTGCACGAGAAGAGAGAACGAGGGCGCACGCAAGCGCAGCCCGCAGCGTCATCGTCGTCTACGTTCGTAGTGTTGTTGTCGACTCGTTACCTCGATTCGATATCGCGTACTTCTCTCTCTCTCTCTCTCTCTCTCTCTCTCTCTCTCTCTCTCTCTCTCTAGCACGCCTGTCGTTACGTCATCGCGTATACATGTTGCGTTACCGAATGCGTGCGCGCACGTGGTCAGGCACGTAGTGATGATTTTTTGATTCTTAGAATTAGAAAAAGATAAACGGCAAGGTAAGCCAAGATTAGAGTTAATATTACATTGGCTTCGTCCAGCAGAGAAAACTAATCAGCGCTTAATGATTCTTTAATACGATTGATTTCTACACTTAGATTTAGCGAAGGAACTGAGACAAGAACCAATCATGTTAAAGAATCATTAAACGCTAACTGATTAATTTTCTCTGCTGAACGCAGTAATGATAAAGCTTAATAATAATAGGCCTAGATGATTTAAACTTATGAAATGCGATAGATCGGTATTAAGATTTAATTAGAAATGGGAAATTGAATTATTTCTCTCCAGCTGTTCCTCTCAAAATTGTCTTTTCTACTTAAATTAAATTGTTTTTTAAAATAATGACAATAAAAAGAAATAACAAGTACGGAAAAACATTAAAAGAAACATATCTATTCAATTATATTGTAATAATAAAGGGAACTAAAAAGTAAATTCATTTGCAGATTACTGTGACACAGAGCTTTCTCGATAGATCATTATCTTCTGCAAATCTTTTTTTTTTTTTTTAATATCTGTTTGTATAAATTGATTTTTTAGTTGCTTTTCTATTGATGTCCACAAAGTATATACAATAGCATTTACAAATAAAAATAATAGTAGAATAATGATGAAAACACTAGCAACGAGTAAACAACCTCGCAAGAGAATTCCTTAACGCTTAAAATGAGTTTTCCGTGAAGATAATCTGTTATGGTGTAATTAAGCTTATTTTTTTAATTATTTACTAAATAAAGATCATTTTCTCTCTTAAAAGACGGGAAAAGTACCTCGATTTTTTAAAATGCATTTGATTTCATGCCACGTGCTTTGAAGTCGCAACATTATCTTTGCATCGAGTTGAAGGACATTGAATATCTCGTGTTAATTTAATACCATTTCATCATGAATTATGTAAGACTTCTGACGAGAATAACCGCTCTGTAATTTTTTAAAGCTATTTGGGAGGCAGATATTAAATAATTATTTTGTAATTTTTCAAAGCTGTCTGGGATACTTCATTATCATTTAATAAATTCAATATTCAATATCTACAACAGAATTTACAAATTTTTTGAAAATCTCATTATCAGACGAGTCAATGCGGCATAAAATTGTATATCGACTTCGCAATTGTAAAATAAATTCCAACCATTTCTCCATTACAAAAATAATTAATTCTACTGTACCTTTTTACATTATTGGAATACATGGCAAAGAAAATAACCACAAATTCACGTGGAATTGGGTCTAATTCTGACAAATTATTTAGACGGAACCAGAAACCTGCAGAATAAAGATATCTAATGTTAGAAATTTATTAATTTTACAAATAGAACGCTCCTTCGAGAGACAAGCAGAGCCATCGTCATCCCTCTGCGAGCTTTTTCACGAGTCAACCCTTGCGTATTCGCGGCCGATAAAATCGCGCTCCTGCCAGAAATTACCAACCCCTCAGCCCCGAAATGGGTGTAGCCGAGGAGGAGGGTGAAGAGTCGGGCGCGGAGGGTGGGTTTGGTGAATAATTCGCTTGCGCGGGGCTTTCCGTACTTTGAAAGCTCACCACAGGATGGCGACGCTTCTCTGGCACGACAGGAAATGCCTTCGACCCCCTGCGAGAACCAAGGACGAATCGGCCAATCGGCGTAGTAGAAGCGAGGGCCGAGCCCGTAGTTTCTAGAATTTAACGACGGCACGACCGCCATTTTCGGCCGTTCCTTCCAATCGCCGTTCGACACATCGTTCCTCTCTCTTACGATGATTTCGCTGTCTCGTTACGCAATTCAGCAGATACATTATGTATGTAGACACACAGCTGTGCTGCGATTGCATGATGCAAATATTGTAAGCAAACAGGCAAGCAGGCGGGATGTCACTGGTCGTCCGCGGTGAAGAAATCTCGGCAAATGCCGACAATCTACGATCGCATCGAAACACATAAGATCGCTTAACTTTTTATTCCGCGACGTTGCGCGGAGGAAACTTAATGAAAATAAAGGAAGAAAAAAATTTGTGGTTTATACGAAAACTCACACACATTAATTCAGGCCTGTACAATTTGAACTCCGGAACCAAACGTAAAGCCATCGATGGAAACTGCAAAGTGTTGATATGCATCTGAGTGACGCTTATCAACACTTTACAATTCCTAAAATCTTACTCACATTGAATTTTTTGCGTCAATGGCTTTGCGTTTTAGCTGTGGAGCTCAGATTGAATAGGCCTGTTTTAATTACGAGGTGAGTACCTCGTAATATGCAGTTTTGCTCGAGTCACTCACAACTGCATGTTTGTATTAATAAAGTTAACGTACAACTGCATGTCTCCAAATCGTAATATTCTTTAGCAAAATAAGTAGGCAGCTTGAAAATAAATGTACCAAAATTAAGATCAATATTTAGTCTTATTTAAACTATTTGAAACTGTAATCTTCTCTCTCTTACGAACCTCCAAATTCAAACAAAATGTAGATCACAAAGAGCGAGAGCGAGAGCGAGAGCGAGAGCGAGCGAGCGAGCGAGCGAGCGAGCGAGCGAGCGATAGAGAGAGAGAGAGAGAGAGAGAGAGAGAGAGAGAGAGAGAGAGTACAGCGTCGTCGACGATACGCATAGTAATAAAATGCAGATGCTTATTATTCCTTTATTCCATAAGTTAATATAATTATCTAGATTTGTATGTTTCAACTCACTTTGAAGTCCTCCTCAGCAAATACACACTTAATAACCCTCCTTAGTCAATATTGCCAAAAAATTTAAATTTGCAAATCATTAGTAATCCGCTATTGTGTTTATACTTGTTTTTAACCAAACAATCGGTATCATGGCTGTTCTACAATGTGTTTTTTGTTTCCTGTTTCTTGCTGTTTATCTATCTCTTGCCTTCTTGATCAAAAAGGCAAGAGGACAAACAGGAAACAAAAAGCACATTGTAGAACAGCCATTAGCATCGCATTAAAATCATTTATAAAACAATCAAAAGAATTAAAATTTCAGAAATTTTGCTTTTTATTTTTGTCGTGTTAGTAGTATCTGATAAAAGATCTATGCTGAGCGCTGAAGCGTATAAACTTAATGATATACTTCGAGAAAATAACTCGTTACTTAATTAATATACCGCAAATCGAAAGATTGAAAAACATTGCTTTAGACTTAAATTTTATAATCCATTCTTACAATTCTCTGTCTCTCTCTCTCTTTCAAAAATCGTTTCGAGAGTACTAAATTGTGAATCCGAAATGAAAACCAATCGCAGTTTTATTAAACGTTGACTGCCGAATATGCAGAGTCAGCTAAGACTTATTCAAAGGATCTTCGATAGGATCGTTTCTATTATCGAGAAATGCATACACAATTTATTAAATCAAATCTCCAATTATATCCTATTCTGAGGAATACTGCACTGCAAACGTAAAATTTAAATGAAAGCAACGCTGTCTCACTTTTTCTCTATATCCAGTGATAACGAAGTTTTATTTGTCTATTAAATTTTTATCACTGAGCTCTTCTCTTTTATTTATACTTCGAGCTTCGGTCGCGACGAAAGAATGAGATGCGTCGATACGTGAAATCTCCGAAGATTCGTCCGTCCGTTGTCTTAATTATGCAAATTCGCCGCCGCGGATGTGGAACAACGCCGCTGTCACAACGGTAACAACAGGAAGAAACGATTTACATATCGCGAAAATATGCATGCCACAGAGATGTAAATTGTATGACCGCGCAAGCGGCGACAACGCGACGGCGAGGTTCTATGGTGAGTGGAGTTTTAAACCGACAGGAGGAACAGCGTAATCGAGAAATCGAGGAGACTGCGAACAAAGGAAAAATCGAACGGTCGAGAATACGCGTTGAAGAAAGACAGAGAAAAGCTCGCGATGGAAGCTTTCCAATTAGCATAAGTGTGGAAACGTCCGACGATGCATTTAACGATTCAACCGAAATTCTACAAATAGAGACTCGAAAAGGAGTTTGGAGTGGTTGGTAAACCAGATACTTTTTAGCAAGACTGCATATTTTTCCGCACTGCTTTTCCTTATTAAATGCAAGTACTTGATCCTTTCCTATCCTCTTTTTTTTCTGTAACTTCTGTCAGATACATTTAAATGGCGTCAAGTATGACTCCGATTCGTTTATTCGCTACGTTATGAATAAAACTGAACCAACTGCTTAATATAAATCGTTAAAAATATTTAAAGATCCTCGTAAACGTATATTTACGAATTTTCATTATAAAATAACGAAAAGATGTTTTTGTGATATCGGATACATCTCTGACAAAGAAATATATTATATGTATACATATATAAAATATAAGAATGCATCATATATGGCGATGCTAAAATAATTTCGAGAAGCATCTAAAAAACGTACTGAACATTCAAAAAAGATTAAGAAATGTCTAGTCGAATAATTTGTATCATTACATAATCACTTAAATTTTCAAAGTTTTATAGTAGTGCTGAAATATATAGTGCATAGATCAGTATTTATAATCAAAATGCATTATGTACTAATTCGATATACTAATAATTCGATGTACTAA